TTCGTCACACTCAAAACTCTTTTGATTTATGTAGGAAACATTGCTTACCTGCACAAACATCAACCATTCATTCACTCTTGCCCCTACTTATATCTCTTAAAGGGTGCACTAAGGTAGACCAATGGGCCTATGAAAAATTTCATAACATCATTTTAGCAGCATCGGAAGTTAGCCATTAATTACTTCTTTATTTATTACTTTGTCTACAAACTTTACCAACTTCAACTAGAAAATCTGAAAAATCATTCCGCTCAGTAATTAGTTGTTTAGCGCCGTCCGTTGGTTACCGTTCGCTAGAATTACCACACATAAATCTTTCTCGTCGTACATTTGTACTGTTTAGTTTACAACAGACAGTTGGACACTTATTCATATTTTTGCTAAGCCTAAGCAAATCTCTGAAGGACATCACAATGAGATGGCCAATTTCTTCATTTGGTTTAAGAACTCATCCTGGTTGCAAATAGGTTTCAGTCAATTTTCAATTTGATTTATGAAGCATTTCTTTTGTTCCTGCATCTACTGCATTTTCTTCACAGCCCTATTGCTCCCGTGAACTATTCGGGAGTGATGATTCCATAAAACTGACGTAAACAGGTCAAGAAATCGATGACTAATATACATATTGTATTTTCAGATTTGTAACTTTTCACCTGGAAATTTCTTTTTTTTAATAGCCTTTGCCTGTTTTCTTCATTTGCTAACTTTGCTTTATTTCGTTCTCTAAATTGCTAGGCTTCTATACATTGTTCATTTCCATCGTCGACATCTCATAATTTCCTGGCTCTGAATTCCCTTGTTTTCGCTTCAACTATGTCAAGGTAGCCGGCCTGATGCTCACGTTTTTGCCACAGGCCTCAACTAATCTCTACTGCTTCCTCTCTTTTCATCAACTTCAAGGCTTTCAGACTGTGTACAAGATCCATCTTAAAACCGTTTTCATTCTATTGATCTCTTTGAGTTGCGTATAGCGCATTTGCGCGTTCCGTTCCGCTGTCACAATTCAATTACATGCTTCATACTTTCTTTTGTCACTTCCGAATCACAATATTGGTGGCACTTGCATATGAAAGGGACTCAGCTGCTTGTCTGTCCCATGCTGCACTACCGTAATCTTTTTAGCTGAAGTGGCGTATGGATGGACTATGCATTGATTTTCTTGGGGATGAATAGATGCAAGAAATGGGTGCAGGCCTGTAAGGTCGCTAGGCCAGTACTTCCGCTGTTAGCTTCGTATGCAATAGCTTTTGAATCTGATCTGAAGCAATAATGAAAGCCAATCTTAGCATACACCGCGAGGGACTAAACCTCTGACAAATTTAGTCTCTTGTGCAAAGTCATATCTCACATGCTTAACCCTTCCCCCTTTTACTTTACCCTGAATCCAGACATACGTACAGCAAGCGAGGCATATATGTTTCTAACACATTTTTCAAACAATCCAAGACCTGAACAAATTGATGCGAGACAGATGTCCTCGTTGTCACCGCTCTCTTTCCTTTTCCTTCGATAAAATTAAAGGCCCACTTGTGACAAATATGAATGCGCATACTCACTTTCTCCGCAAGCCATTACTTTTTTATTACTTAAATTATATTTATTCCATGCCATACAAATCCCTCTCACCAATTTCTTCCGGAATTTAACTTTATAATGACACATAATTCCTCTCACACAGAGCTGGGAAGGCATAGCTCAATTCTCTATAAATGACTATTCAACATATATAATATAATTAATCCCCATTTTTAAGTTTGCCTTCTTAACTAACATTTTGTTAATTGCCGCTATTTGTTCTACCTAATTTATATCATAGCAATGATTTTAATGCTTTATTAATCTTTTTACTTCAAATATTTCTATGAAATCTGATAAAAGAATTGTTGAAGGCCTCAGCTAACGTCTTGATAGCTAATTTGAAGATTGCAAAAGGCTTCTTCAAACAATCACATCTGGCAATATGGGCTGAATTTGAAATTTGTATCGAGCAACATAAACGAAGTATGCCAAGACTGGGACATGCATATGTTCACTCGATGCCAAATAGGATTTAAAATAATTTACGTTAGCTGAATTAGACAAATTTACTCGAGAAATTCGGGCGGAAAGTACTACTCGGTTTAGCTTGGCCCAAAATTCCATTCAGCATGTTGTTGTAGTCAATTTAACAGCCAACTTTTTGTAGAACATAAATCGTTTCACTCCGAAAAACTTCTCCTTATAAGAAGGCTTAACCACAAGGTCAGAAAAGTGCATTATCATATAAACTTGTGGATGGAAAAGGCTGTTCGATTGGCCGAGCTCAAATTTTCACATGGTGCAATAGAAAGCTTAATGCAGTAACTTCATTTGCCCTTTGCTTTATCTTTCTTTTCTCTTTTCCAGTAAGCTAAATTCAGCCTAAAGCAGTCATATGAATTAATTCTTCATTTCTATGGAGAGAAATAATCATTAGTTTGGCTAACCGTTTATGGAGACCTTTGCAATGCCCTAGAGCAAATCCTTAATTGATTATCGGCTGAGCTCGCTTGTCTCAGCCGGTAATTTAGTCATTTCCATTTGTTTATCCTATCCATCCGTTTTGTTTTCCAAAAGTCCTATTTCTTACTAACTTCGAAATAACCACATAGATGCATTAATTATAGTGAAGAAAACGGAGGAAAGGAGAACGAAGGAAGCGAAGGGAATGAAAATGAAAACTGACTCTTCCTGCTTACCTTACATTCCGGAAAGCGGGGATGAAACGCAACGAACTAAAATAACTCGCTAAATTTTAGCTTAAGAAACGCAATGATGACCATAACCCGAAGGCATAATGATGGAGAGATAGAGTTAAGTGCTGAATAACGAAAACTATCGACGCTTTCTTTTTTCCCTTCCAGCAGCAAAAGAACGAATGATAATAGCAAACAGACAGAAACAATGATGATAATCCAATCCATCCATGGTTTGCATCACTCATCCTCTTATCACACTTTCTTCTTCTAAATGATGAATGCTCTTCCCATTTTCGTCCTTATTCCATCCATTATTCAACAACAAAAGACAGGCTACCATTTCTGTAAAAAATTATTATTCCTTGCTGAAATTGGCATTTGGAAAAAAAAATCGATAGATTGCTACTACTTGATCACTTTGATTCGAAGGCACCACATGGCTATTTAAAATAGCCACTGGTTGCTCTTGCATTCTGTAATGAGTTGTTAGAGTTAAACGCGGTCAACGACGATAAAGGACACTGGTTAAGATGTGACTAACGGATGCCATAAATCTCAAGAATTAGAGATTTGGTAATGGAACGTAAATCTCATGCTTGTCGCATCATGATATAACATATGTTGTATTGTCCGATCTTCCTTATGGTTATATAAAATTCTTCATCTTTTTTCTCTCACTTTCATTCCTTTTCTTGCTTTAATTATTAATTCCACCATTAAAGTGCAGTTGCCTGCAATGACATGCATGTTAACTGTGTGATTAGATTCTGAAGGTTTCCTTTCACAAATGCTGTGTAATAATGGAACGGAAGAATGAATTTGCTCAGGTCGGACGGGTTAAATGATCGATTTTTCGACCACTTACAATTGATTACGTTTTCTTTTTCCCTTTCCTTTCCTTCATGCAGGTGCAGAGATGAAAAGATGCACCTCGGGGAATGCTAAATGAGACAAGTTTTGATGCATTGGGTAAAAGCTGCTCAGGTCAACAATTCCAGATTGCCTTATTCTTGCTTTTGCCCTTCTTTCTTCCCCCCCACCCGGCGTTTCCCGTCATCTTGTCCTTGTCTTTCGTCGAATTCACTGCCTTTATAATAATCAACAACTAAAGGAGTAAAACAATGTGACAACTTTTTATATTTCCTATAGGAGAAAGTAGGATCAAAAGCTCATCGCAGGTTTTAGCCGCATTTCGTTGCAAATTATATATATATATATATATATTCACTATAAACTACTCTCTTCCTGCAACTGTCGTTAAGGAATAATTTCGCTGGCAGTGTTCTAAAAGGATGTATCGATTTTTCTGTCCAACGCCGCAATCTTGCTTCCTTTTGGATAAGTATAACTTAAAATATCTACTTCTGCGTTAACGAATGTCAAGTTGTGGATGAATAGATATATGAATAAAATGATCGGTTGAAAGTAATTGTGTCCTTTTTCTTTTTCTCGAGTATGTCTTACAATTATTGGATGGATCTGTTTTTTAAGCCCTTTTCATGGTCTCTGAAACACAGTCTGAAGTTCGCTTAAGGCTCAAAGCAACTGCTTAAAAATATTGTTAGGTAGGCATTCAACACCTGTATCTCTCATTTTCACCTCAGTAAATTTTGTAGAATTTCCTTTAGGAGTAAATTGAACGATTTGAACTTTTTTTTCGCGTTGAATACCACTTCCATCAAAACATTAAATTAAAACATTAGCTAATAAGCACAATACTAGAGTAAAATATTCTTCACTTACTACTCCAGTGAAATCAGCCTCCTTTCTACTCTTCAACCATACTTTAGATGTTTAAGCAATGGGTAAATATTCTTAGCAAATTTCAACCTGGAATTGCAAGAGGATTAAAAGTTCGACCGATTAAATAATTGTACCTGTTACTTAAGGTACTTCTTTTGTGGAAACTTTTTGAGCAACTTCATATGAACTTAGTTTGGAATAGCGAAGAAAATCATTTCTGTTCTGAGAAGTTTTTCATAAATTTAGGATAACGTGTCCTAAAACACATTAGGATAATGTGTTTTAAAACTGATTGATCATTTAAAGGAGGTAAGTTCACAAAGGTGTAGAACCAAGAATATTAATTTTATTATACAATTATCAATATTAGGAAGGAATTCATATAAGTTCCGAAAAAGAGAGAATTCGACTTTGATATCATCATTCATTTCAAATATACGATTCAATGGTAAAATCAAAATAAATAAATAAATGTCATATGTGTGAAGATTGCCTTGTTGAGATCCGTTGCTGACATCTTACTACTGCTTTAAATCTCAACAGTTTTTAGACGGAGGTAAAGTAAGCTACAAAAAGTACTTCCTTGCTACTTCATCAATGCCGTCAAAAGAATTTTGCCCTGTGACACAGTTGGTACTTCAGATTCTATTCGGGGCAATTCTCGCTTCTACTACGTCATCTCATCGGCATCGCGGTAAGCAATCTGCTTGTCACTTCAATTTACCTGAAATAAAATCCGATTAAATCCTCACTCATCATTTTCAGTCTGTCTTTATTCATCAAATATTTCCTCTTTGTAAGAATATCCTGACTTTTGAAATAATTCCAAGCTTGCGATGAGAGTAAGTATCACATGGAAACATTCATCAACTTTTCTTCATTTATGAAGTAGAAAAAAAATTTCTCTTTAAATCAATTTCAATATTAATATTGTTCGTCTGTAATCTAATTTCATTAATCTAAAAAATGGTAAAATTCATTAATCTAAAAAAATCTTTTGTAAGGCTTACTTTTAATTCAATTCGTTTTGAACAATGCAGAATACTTTTTCAAGTTTTTCCTTTAGATGTACTTGAAAAAGGAAAAAGCTGTAGAATTGTTGAAGTTTGTGGATTTACACATATCACGTAAAATTACAACTGCGTTATCATGTGCAGTACTTAAATGTAAAACCAAATTCTCCGCAATAAGTGGAGGAAGCCAATTTCTCTGGAAATAAGATTTGCTCTGAATGCTTGTGGCTAATTACTGCAGAAGTTTTAGAGTTACCGAGAAAGTTAGATGCAACATTAGACTAGGTAAATAAGGGAAAGAATATACCACACATGGCTGGCAATTGTATATTTGCTTTATTAATGAGTTTAGTTCTTAAAAGGGATGGAGCAACATAGTTGGAACTTGGAGAAGATGGTAAGGTTGAAATAATTTAGAATTATTATATTTCTTTCCAAGATTGACTGGTGCATATTTTCAAAAAACATTTTTTTTCAGTTCCAATAATTGATCTTGGCGGCGCAGATGAATTAGTTGGCACTGTTCGAGAGGATCGTACCATAGTCAATGTTATTCCCAAATTAGACATTGTTCACGAAACTGGTTAGCCAGCTGTCATTGATAAGGATGAAAAGAGAATCTTTCAACAAGTTTTTAAGAACACTTTTAGTAACCTTGAGATGCGAAAGAAATTTATGTTAAATTCTCGGATTTTGAGCTGAATCTTTTCACTCCAAATTTTTTCAAAATGCCTTTAGCATTCACTTGGTGGTGTGGCTACTGATTGAATGCGAAATACCAATTTCTCGAAGAAGGCTGACTTTTGATCACTTACTTTAGTGCACTGAATAATTAAGACATTTGATCTGAAATGTTTGAGGAGAATATGTTTTATAGCTTCGATAATAACTAACTGTTGCCATTACCATATTACGATAAAGTGATCTGAACGACTTTTTAAAAATGAATCAGAATGATTCGAACGAATATAACTTCCTGAAAGGAGTTCCAATATTCTTTAAATCACTTATTCACATACTAATTCTCAACCTCAATATAATATTCGGACCGAATCACTTTGGAGGATTTAAGGTCCTGTATGCCGATATGAAGTTACAAGCGAAAGTTCTGAAGATGTGCCATTTATGGTTGATATAAACGATGAAAAGGAAGGATCGGGTATTGTACGAATAAAGGATGACATACATTTAGACTGTAGTAACCCACCGTATCTTCTTAATGTGGTAGCGATCCGCTGTGGTGATGGTGCCAGATCGGAAAGGTATGTTTTCAGTTATGAGTTAAAAGGAAGTAGTTTTCTTCGTCTCTTATTGAAAAGCTCAACATTATTCAATTTCATAGGTATTTCATATGCTAACCTTTACCGCCACAACAGTAGAATATACTGGCAGCTTTTCATTCCTGTATCAGTGGATGAATTCTGAGAACATACGATGGATCAGCACTTACGTAAGAAGCAACTCATTCAGTAGCTTTCCTTCCTTAAATTAGAAAACCTAAATTTATTAGCAAACAGTTCTAGATTCGGGAAAATAGAGTGCACTCTAAGTCAAGAGACTTAGAAAGCTTTAGTGAGATTTCTGCCCTTCTCTCCTCCTTTCAGTGTCACTAACAAAATGTAAATAAAAAATTTCCGAAAGAAAAGAAATCAGGTAATACCTTTTCCTCCTTTCTTCTCGTCTTGAAATTACAATTAAACAATTCAAGTAAATAAAAAATAATAGTTCCTGAAAGTAAGGTAAATTCAAAGAGGAAACAATTTATTTTAATCCCTACTGTTTACATGAATTTTGCTACCGTTATAAGGTTTCTCGGTCAAAGCTTTTATTGAATCTAACGGATGATTTGCTTTTATTGATTTGAGTGGTAGGCTTATCTTAATTTAATTGGACAGATGAGTCTGCGTTTTTTAAACTCAGATAGAATGACAGTTGTAATTGAGAAAAGCAAAATTTCCTAAATCTTTCTTTTTTTTGGAAAAGGTTAGTAGAACAGATCATCAGGTTGGCCGAGTATTATTCATGCTGAAGCAGGAACCTTCATTTTAGCATTTACTTTAAACTTTTTGAAAAAGAGAATGATGTCTTGCAGAAGAAACATCCAAATAGCACTTATTTAAAAATTAAAAAATACAATTTCAGCGCACGGTTACGAATCTCCGTGAAGGATACAAATGATCACGTACCAGTATTCTCACGCCCGTGGTACACCTTTAACATCAATGAAGGTACGATTAAGTGCATATCGTAAACTATCCTTGAAGTAAATAAATTTCATAATAATTTGTCAATTTCTCAAACGAATTTAGTAAATTCATTACAATGATTAGCGTGCAGTACGCAGGTGTTTTTTAAAACAGTCAGGTTTCAGGAAAAATTTACAGCGAATTAGCTCGATTGCAAGCAACTGATAAGGATTGCGGTCATCCTTATGGACAGATATGTAGATATCAGATCACAAATGCGCTGGACGGATTTCCCTTTGCTATCGATGACCAGGTTTCCTTAGACCCATCGTTTGACACTTCATTTTATTAATTTGTTGATAAACTTGTGTATCTAATATTACCCAGTCAATGCATAGGGATACTTTTTCTCAGCTGCTTAAGAACTCCCTGAAATATTTACAACCGGGTACTTTTAATGCTACCGTTTCGTATCGTATCACGAAGAAAACTGTTACTGGATCGTTGAACCCTGCATTCAAATTGAAATTTTGTATCAGTGGAAGTGGATTTAAATATCGGACAAATAAAATAACTATTTTCTGCGTAGTATTCGTTATTTTCATCAGGGTGTTCTACGGAATACGCGACCACTAAACTACACTCAAGCCAAATCTTACATTCTGACAGTTGTCGCTCACGACTGCGGAATGCGCCAATCCAAATCAACCCTTGTCACTATCAATGTTCATGAAGCTTGTGTAGATGGTATCCACGGTATCCCAGAACAAGTGACTTACATTCCTGGGTCTGGAAGTGTCCCGATTGCACCAAATGCACATATCGTCACCTGTGCGGAAGCACAATCGTGTACCTTGAAAAGTGTGAAAAGCATTCTAACACTGCAAACTGATCGTTTGACAAATGGATGCGACCGCGATGATTTTGTTCCGGAAACAATTCGGAACAAGTAAGTGAGTTTATGGATCAAGGAGCAAAAAACTGCTTAACAATCTTCGGTGAATTCACTGAATGCCTACGGTGTGGTCGCTTTTCCCCTTGTTTAACTTCCGATTGTATTAAATAATTTCAGTTTCACTGAGGTCTGCTTGTCGGAATATTACTCTCTGCAGATGTGGAATGGACGAATCAACAATTACTCTGTTAGCGGCTACCGATGGTGGTGCAACTGATAACAATGTGATAAATGACAAATACGCTTTTGATGGAAAGTCGACTTCAATGATTGTACCACAGAAAAGAGTGGATGATGTCATTCCACTGAAGTTTACGTTAACCTTTTCGATGAAACATGCTCGTGGTAATAAAGAAGAACAAGCGCTTAAACAAACAATTCTATGTGAAAGCGATTATATGAGTAGATTTTTGTTTATATTTTGAGACAATATGAGTATTTTGTTGAGTTACTTACTCAACAAAGTATTTTCTCATTTTTCACATCTTTGTCACAGAGGTAGAAAAGTCAGGGTGGGCAGTCCGGTGTGTTTAATTATTAATAAACGAAGTAAGTTCAGTGAATTAAAAAAAAAACCTATTGTGATATAGAACAAAATGCGAGTAGAGGGATTCACAAAGTTTGGTTTGCCTATACTTATAATTGCGGGCTAATTTTAGGCATGAATCGTCACCATTTTGCGGTTTATACGCGTCACTGCAAGCTGGAAATGTTGATGCGTCGGGAAAGTAATGCTGAAGCTGCATTCCGTGCTGCCGAATGGCGGTGGAGCATACCGGAAGTTTGCGACAATCGTTGGCATTCATATTCCATCCTGTTTGCTTCAGTTGATGCGGTCAACATGCCTTTATTACTGAGATTTTTGATGAGCTGTTTGTTTGTACAATTATTATTTAGATGCAGTTGAGGGAACTATGGAGAAGGGTTGAAGATAGTTTTCTCTTAACTGCTCTTCTTAAAGCATCCTAACGGATATTGAGAGAATTGAATGAAAAGCCCTCTCCAGCTTTACTAACTCTTTTTCAAGGCCATTATCGTTTTTGTCATTTTTATCTGCCAGTATTTAGGTTGATTTGTACGTCGACGGTCGTAAATTTGTTACAACGAAAGAGAATCCAGAAATACTGGATGATTGGCCACTGCATCGTATCAAAGAGACGGTTAGATGCTTCCACCATTGAGTTTGTCACCAATTTTAGTTTCATTTTTTCTAGTATTTTTTTTTTCATTTCATTCTGTTTGTTAATGACTATGTGCTGTATTGTTAGGAGTTACAAATGAAGCTTACAACCTTGTAATGTGTATTTTGCAGAAAACTCGTCTAGTTGTTGGAGCATGTTGGCATGGTCGTAACCAGATAATGTCTCAGTTTTTCAAGGGGCATCTAGCTTCCATCTATTATTTGCCACACAAACTTGAACGGCCGCAAGTTCTTCAGTGCTCCCACCAATGCAAGGAGAGGCTGGAATTCAATTCCATCGATCAGTTGGTCCCAGGAGAGGTTTGCGTTTTAATTAAAATTTCGGAATTTAGTACTTAACGACTCAAATTTTATCTCTGTAGGTAAAACATTAAAGTGAAGATCAAAATTCAAATTCGGACTGAAAATTAAAAATATACAAATAATTGGCTTTCAAAATTCCTTTCCTGCAGAATGCAATCTTTGCCACGGATTCATCATCTTTCTCCTTGAAAGCGAATACTGCTGAAGATTTATCACTGTTACTTCAACGAGTTACGTATACAAATACGAAAAATATACCGACACCTGGGTATCGTACGTTCTTCATCAATACAACCGTTCTATGCGCCGATGGGAAAACGGTTTGTTGCCTGAAACACTTTTCAATTGAAGAATCAAAATTTTTGGTCTTTTATTGAGGTCGTTTCATCAGCATGATAACATGTAAAAAATATGTAAAAATTTGTTTTTTTTTTGTATCTTGAACTTCTTATTTGTATTTTCCATCCTTTTTTCAGCTTACTCTTAATCCTAGTGAAGGTTCCATATTCATCCAGCGAAAAGCTGAACCCGTGATTTCAATCAGTGGATTATCAGTTGTGAATAGTGATCAACATCTCGTAAAGACGGGTGCACCAATGCTTCCCGAAATCAAAATCGTCGTGACTCAAAACATCAATGGAGGTAAGTTTTAGTTTTAGCAACATAAAGATTTTTAAATTCATTTTTGACATTAATTGCATATTTTGTACTCCATTACTAACCCATCTCCATACTCTTTCTGTTAGCTTACAGTGTGATCCAGCGGCTTGTTCAGTCCACGTCTTACATCACTTGCCGATTGACGTTACAACATTTTCCTTGTCATAAACTCTTATTTTGACTTGTACTATAGTAGATGGGAACTTGTGAAACACATTCTTTCATACCAAAAAAAGCAAACTATGAAGTGATGTGGTTGGTGATGACTCTCTGTACTTTTTCCACTTGATAAGTGAGCTGATCATGAAGTTAGCAGAAAAGAAGCATGTTGATTGGTTCAGAGAGGTTGTGCATATCAAAATATTAACCGAAAATAGAATGTTCAAAGTTTGTATCTGCAGTTTAGAGAAAAGTTTATCAAAATTGAAGCACATCGCCTGTTTCTTTTTCACTGATCATAATAAAATTTTTCTCATAGAAAAAATAAAGCAGAGTAAGAAGGAAAAAACGATTGGCACCGTTATTTAATTGAATGAATTAAAGCAAATAATGAAGCAGTTTTTCTGAACTCTGTACAGGTTGATCAGTGACCAACTCCGACACCCCTGGGTTAAAATTATCTCTAGAATCAAGATATTTTTAAAAAATTTTTCCGCTGTTTTGGAAACCAGAGAAGCGGAAAGTAATGATGGAGAAAGACAATAAACGCTAATGGAAAAGCTGTTATGCAAATGAGGTTTTTCAGAAGAGGTTGAACGGACGAGCGTATCGGAACTTGATTGGTGTAAAGTCCATTTAAAACCATCACGAGATATGGATCTCGAATATTTTTCATCTCCTGCTTCGTTAATTGCTGCTCTTCGAATTGATTTTGAACATGATAAACAAGTTAGACATCATTTTAATTAATAAGCCTTGAGTTGAATGAGAATGGTACGAACGAATGGAAAATTAATTTGATTAATGCATCGCTGATTTACTGTAATCTCCTAAAATTATTAAACCAAATCAAGTGCTATTTCATGGAGAATACTATTCTCCTTTATCGGTGTTAAAGTGTGACAATTTAGCCGTAAACAAATACAGAACTTTTGAAAGGACTAAATTACTTTCATTATTCTGGTTTACTTATTTAATGGTTTTTGGAAATCAAGGAGTTAGAAAATCCACTTATGAAAAATGATCATGCTTGAACTTTTCAGGGTATTTTACTGAAAGGTAAAGAGAACGTTAAAGGTTACCGAGAAATTTTGTCAAAAATTCACTACTTTAATACTCGAGCTGACTCATATTCAAGGAGAATCTATACTGTACAATGTGCAATGAGTGGTGGTCGGATACTTAGCAATGAATTCCTCGTTACGGTAAGTCTATTGGAATGGTTATGGTTTAGCAGTAGGATCGAGCATCAAATATCGAAAAGTAGATATTTCCAGTAAATAAAGAAGGTGGGGATGGTGAGCTTTTCTCTAAAGCTTTAATTACATGACATACAGATAAGTCCGATTCTTAGCAGTTAATTCCTCATCACGGTAAGTCATAGATCATAGATCCTTTGGAGTTTAACGCAAAAATGAATCGAAAATTAAAAGGAACAAATGGATGTTTTTGGTTTTTGTTGATCGTTTGAGAGACAGGTTTGCTAAGTTTATTTTCCTTCTTGACAAGGACTATTTAGTGCTTATCTAAATTATTTTTTTTTTTTATGTTCTTTACTTGTTATCTCAACATTCTCATTATCTCCATTAATGTATTGTGCTGATACATGAACTCTTCAGGAAATTATTTAATATTTCGGTATGGAATAGGAAGAACAGGGTAAAAGAATAGGAAATAGAAAAAAAATTTCTAAAAACTATTGCGTTCCGTAACCTGAAACTTCATATAAAGAAGGAGTTATTTTTTTTACTCATAAGTACACAAAGCAGCTTTTCACTCATCTTAGAATTCATTTTCTTAATTTTCATTTCTTTACTAATAAAACCTTAGATTAAACTGCCGTTTTTTCATAAATTTCAAGTAAAAATTTAAATTTATTAACGAGAAATGTAATGAGCTTGTTCGAGCAGGTGGCTTAAGCCATATAACTTTTATTTAATTAACGGAGACACTACTTATTAGCTTACAATGTATTTAGTATCTTTTTCTCTGCGAATAATTTTCAGTTTGCTTTCATTTTTTTTTTTGTTCTTACCTTCTCGAGAGGGTTATTTTTTTAGTAAACACATATAAAAATTATTGTAGGTTATCCTATAACATTGGTAAGGAGAAAAAAGTTAGGGACATAAGGAAGAGGAATACAAAGTTCGTATTTAGTAGTAATGACTTTTTGAGAATACCACGTGAATTGTCCACTGGGAGTGAAAGGTTCACTGATAGTGTGATTAAAATAATACATGTGCTTTTAAATAGCAACTCAATTATAATATCCATCATGTCATTTCGATCCAAACATATTAATGCATCGAAATTTAAAAGGAAAAATACATGTTAAAAAGGATGTGAAATTTAGATGAATATTAATACATCGCTACAATCAACCGACTCAGCAGTTACTGAGAATCTGAATGATGATGAAGAAGTGCAAGTGGATCCTACATTCGATCGAATTGGTGGAAATCGACTGCAAAATTTACTAGAAATGGATTTGCCACGGCCGAAGGCATTGATGTCAAATCACAGATACGGTATGCAAGGTGCTATAGCAGGTAAGACATGGCAATTTTTACCTTCATATTAAACAGGCTAAGACAATTCGTTGAAATTTAACGTAGTAATATAATTTCAAGTCTTCAAAGTTACCAAAAGTGGAGGAGCAATTGCTGTAGTCGTTGTTTTATTATATTATTATTGAATTTTTTTATTGAATGTTTTGGGTTTTGTATCACAAATTGGCGTTGATGTTCTGCAAGTTCCAAGGGAGCGTATATTATCGGTCTCAGAAATTCCATCCCTTTTGAATAGAAATATTTTATCTTTTCCTAATTTAAAAAACACGGATGCAGAATTTTCAGGAGGAGCAGTTGCTGTAGTCGTTGTTTTATGCGTTGGTTTCCTTCTGGTTATGCTAGTGATTGGAGTACTCAAAGTCCGTGATACTCCACTTGTTTCAAGACGACGACGCAACCGGCGAAGCACTGTAAGTTTAGGCTAGGTAAATTTTGATTATGCTTACATTATTCGAACATTTACATTATTTGAAATCATTATTTTATAGGAAGGAGCAATGGAATGGGATGATAGTGGTATGAATATAACCGTAAATCCACTGGAGGAAGTCAACAAAAATGGCGTTGATTTTTCCGACGAAGAAGAAAGCTCCGATGGCGGTGAAAGGTGATTTCATTCATTTTTTGAAGAAATATTGGATGTTTATATTTTTGGATTTTGCGGAATTCGAATAAAACACTTGGGTTCTGAGATCATTATCTTGGATAGATGTGCATGTAAACTGGGTAGATATAAACGCTGACTACATTGAGTACATTCAACGCTGAGTACATTCACGGATATAATACATTTTTATTATGCTTTTGACATTTAGAGTATTTCCATCATCCCAACACTTTAAATTGCTGATTTTGCAGTTTAAAATTCTCTTTTTTGATCTCCCAAATTCATAAAAGTCTGATTTTTTTCAGATATTTTCTATTTTAAGTAAGCAGTTCATCTGTTTTCTAATTTTAAATGAGCAATTCAATATTACAGTTTTCGTGATGAAGGTTTGACAGAAGATGAAGATGCTGGGCATGTACTTCCTCATGTCGATAATGGTGAGTCACTAATTTTCATTTCCTTTCCGGCTTCCAAACTAATTAAAATAAAAAGTTCTGAAGAAAACTTTCAGCAACTCGAGTTAGGTATTTTTCCAGATGTTCATTGTACAAACTACCAGAATGATTCACCAATCCCTTGGAAACCAATATCGTCCTTGTCTAAATTCAATCATTTTGATCTTTTTTGGTTTAGTGAGAAAAAGCCTGGAACATTACCACTTCAAAATTTCTTACCTGCTTTATTACACATTATTTCTAGACTGAAGACTCTGAAAGATTCCCATTTCTTCATGAAAATATATTACAATTTTAGAACGACAGAACAGAAGTTTGGAATGGGATGACACAACTTTAACAAACATTTCACGTACCTATCGCGTATAAAAAGAAGACTCACTTAAATAGTCAAATTATATTACGCTGAACATTTGATCTGATTTTTCCGGTGTTCCTACACCATTACTAAATCCCACTTATTCCGCAAAAAACTTCCCTATCAATTAGTACGTAATTGTTCTCATCATGTTGAGTTATACACCTAAGCAATAATTTATTATCGTTTAATAATTTCAAAATCGTTCATCCCTTAATCAAATCACCCTATCCTAAGCATTTAAAGCAGTAGTTCATATTGTGTATATGTTTGTGCATGTGTGCCATCTTAATTTATATATCCGTTTATAATTAGAAATACTATTTTTAAATTTATTTCTCTCAGAAAACGGTACCCACATCCCATCTACCACTAAAGAACCATAAGCCCCTGCTGTTATAACTCCCCAACAAACATAACCCCTTCGCTCCTCTCCCTCAAAAGATAAACATATCTCGCTGCAATCACGAGAAACTTATATTTTATGTCGATGAGTTCCTTCGTCTACACTAACATGAGAAGACCATCAAATAGTCGAATAGCGAACAATCCACAAAACTTCTGTTTTTAAAGATCTATTGAATATTCGATTTAAAGAAAACTTTTAAAGAAGGTAGATATTCATTTTCTCTTCAATATGATATCGGCAACTAAATCAAATCGAAATCAAAAAGAGGATTTTTCTAGATCATGAAATTTGATTGTTATAGACATGAGTCGATTGCAAAAAATTTATTCCAAAACTAAAGAAATATAAAAATTATCAGTATAAAGTGAACGATACAAAAACACTTTAACAAAAAACATATTAACAAGACAACAGAATACCTAGCTGACAACAACCCTGTGCTCCCTGTTAATAAAACAATATTGTAACCAAATAAAGCTGTAGTAGCAATGAATACATGTGGTCATTTTACTAGTTCTTTTTCTCCATAATGTGTCATTTTTTTGTGATTTCTTTTGTACATGTATTACTGTATGTTTGTGACTATAATTACTTA